TTTTTTTTTTATTTATATATTTAACTTAGAGGGTTTTTTTCCCTATAAACTACATTTGGGAGCCTATATATTTTCTGCTGGTGAACAAGGTGGGTACCCTGGTTACAAAAAAGCACAGAAAAAGCAGAGTTGCTGAATGCCTTCTTTGCTTCAGTGTTTACCAAGGGCAGCTCTTTAGAGTCCCAGGCCCTAGGGACAAGAGAAGAAGCCAGGGGAGAGGAAGACTCACCTTGGGTAGAGGAAGATTGGGTCAGAGAGCACCTAAGGAACCTCGATACCCACAAATCCATGGGCCCTGATGGGATGCACCCCAGAGTGCTGCGGGAGCTGGCAGATGCCGTAGCTAAGCCACTCTCCATCATCTTTGAAAGATCCTGGAGAATGGGGGAGGTGCCGGAAGACTGGAAGAAGGCCAATGTCACGCCAGTCTTCAAAAAAGGCAAGAAGGAGGATCCAGGCAACTACAGGCCAGTCAGCCTCACCTCCGTCCCCGGAAAAGTGATGGAACGGCTCGTACTGGCTGGTGTCTCCAGGCACATGGAGGACAAGAAGGTGCTCAAGAGTAGTCAGCATGGAGTCACCAAGGGGAAATCTTGCCTGACTAACCTGATAGCCTTCTATGATGAAATGACCGGCTGGATAGACGAGGGGAGAGCGGTGGATGTCGTCTATCTCGACTTCACCAAGGCTTTTGACACCGTCCCTCACAACATCCTCCTGGGCAAGCTCCGGAAGTGTGGGATAGACAGTGATGTGGATTAGGACCTAGCTGGATAGCAGAGCCCAGAGGGTGGTGATCAGCGGTGCAGAGTCTAGTTGGAGGCCTGTAGCTAGCGGGGTCCCCCAGGGGTCAGTCCTTGGTCCAGTCCTGTTTAATTTATTCATCAATGACCTGGATGAAGGCACAGAGTGCTCCCTCAGCAAGTTTGCTGATGACACAAAACGGGGAGGAGTAGCCGATACCCCAGAGGGCTGCGCTGCCATCCAGAGGGACCTGGACAGACTGGACAACTGGGCGATGAAAAACCTCATGCAATTCAACAAGGCCAAGTGCAAGGTCCTGCACCTGGGGAGGAATAACCCCAGACACCAGTACAGGCTGGGGACCGACCTTCTGGAGAGCAGCTCTGCAGAGAAAGACCTGCGTGTCATGGTGGATGATAAGTTGACCATGAGGCAGCAGTGTGCCCTCGTGGCCAAGAAGGCCAATGGAATCCTGGGCTGCATTAAGAAGAGCATCTCCAGCAGGTCGAGGGAGGTGATCCTGCCCCTCTACTCAGCCCTGGTGAGGCCACATCTGGAGTACTGTGTCCAGTTCTGGGCGCCGCAGTACCAGAGGGATGTGGAGCTGCTGGAGAGAGTCCAGCGCAGGGCCACAAGGATGATCAGGGGCCTGGAACATCTGCCCTATGAGGAGAGGCTGAGGGAGCTGGGCCTGTTCAGCCTGGAGAAGAGAAGGCTGAGAGGGGACCCGATCAGTGTCTATAATTACCTCAAGGGAGGCAGGGAGGATGATGGTGCTGGCCTCTTTTCCGTGGTGGCCACTGACAAAACTAGAGGAAACAGCTGGAAACTGAAGCACCAAAAGTTCCACAGGAACTTAAGGAAACATTTCTTAACAGTGAGGGTGACAGAGCACTGGAACAGGCTGCCCAGAGAGGTTGTGGAGTCTCCTTCTCTGGAGATCTTCAAAACCCGCTTGCCACGTGCTCTAGGTGACCCTGCTGCGTATGCAGGGGGGTTGGACTAGATGACCTCTAGAGGTCCCTTCCAACCTTAAGCATTCTATGATTCTATGATTCTGTGATAAACAGAGCAGTGTGTGGAAAAAACAAAAGCCAGGACCAGCTTTTCAATGTTACCTGTGCAATTAAATGTAAGAGCAAGCGCTCAACTTGCTAAATACCACTAGAAATGTATCACAAGATGTTATGACAATCCTGAGTTTGTAATTGAGCTTCTACCAGCTAAAATACTCAACTAAATTCAGAAGCCACTCTTTCTTGTGGCACTTATTAACAGCAAAGAAACAGTAGCAGTTTCCTCTTTGAAATGATGAATATTTAAGTGGAAAACAGTTAATGTTGTCAGAATAGCTTTTATTCTGGAAACAAGGATGCTAATACTTCTTGTTCTAAAGAAAAAAAAATAGTTTTCTTTATTATGACCCCAATTTTACAGAAAGAATTGCATTGGGGTATGGATTTAGAGAGCTAATTATAAAGTATAAAAACGTAATAATTGGCAATTTAATGCGGCAGCAGATTGGTAAATAGTGATACCATAGAACAACTACAGACCTTAAGGACATTAGAGAAGGAAATTTACCCTCTAGATTTTAGATTTTTCATCTTTGATTGCAGTGATAAAGTCTCAGAAGTCCAAAGTCTAAAAATAAAAATCTTAAGGAGAAAAAAAACAAAAAAAAGAATTCGGTATTTTTAACTGTATGTTCATAGTGCTAACTACTCCAAGACATACGTTTTGTTTTTAAGAGGAAAAATAAATAAAAACCCCCACTTCTTTATAGGTTCATAAAAAATAAAAAGTATCAGATGCAACTTCCTTAATAAAAAAACAGTTTTTTTTAAAAAAAAAAAACACCATTTTGCTGCACAGCTCTTAGGAGGCTGTCCAGCCTATACCTTGCAAACTACTAAACATTATTATCTAATTAGCAGGACCTGTCATTGTGCTCAAGCAGCTTTTTCCTGGAGACTTGACTTTCTTCCATCTTTTCTGAAGCGTGATGAGAGAGGTATGCCTAGATATATTGTATTGAAGTTAGGCTCCATGTTCTTTGTGCTTCTCA